GGGGGGACCTTATTTCTTTGAACATGCTGGAATTAATTCGTTACTACTTGTTTACATCTACTTGCTTGTAATTACTCTGCAAAATAGAGTACCATTCGTCTTTATCAAACCACCCTTGACAGAACTTTCTTTCAGAATTACAAAATCACTCAGAAATAAAACCATCTTGAAAAGGATATCTCTCTTTAAACAGTAACTTTAAATGAAGTTTGATTTCCCCCCCCCCCCCCCCCGCTTGAAATTATTGCTTGTGAGAGGTTAATGACAGAGCTATTTTTTTTATTTATCAACTTAAAACAACTGCAACTCTAATATTTACATTCAACTGTGCCCCTCATTGCGGGAAACGACCCAAAGTCATCGTGTTCCCACTACGAGGGACACTCACCTACGAGGTTCAATGGTGAACTGCCATATAAAAGGAGATCGCACAAGGCTGTTGTGTCCATATCATTAATGACAGAGTTTCAGTCTGTTTCAAAGCAACATGCACCCCCTGTGCCACAAATCAATGACAGAGATAACAAGTGCATACAATACATTGATGGGTATGTGTTGAGAAGATTCTACTACAGCATAAAGACAGACTCTCCACAAAATGAAACCATGATATAATATTAATAATAATAATAATTCATTTATTTACAGTAGGCGTTCTTTACAGTAGTAGCTAAACGATAAGCTAATTAAAGCCCACTATTCACAGGAATAAAAATGATAATATTATACAGTGATAAAAAGCTATTTAAAGAAATAAATTAAAATACCTAGGATTTAATTAGATAAATAGTTGAAAATATTAATGTTAGACAATTCACGCAAGACCCCGACCTGTGCTACAAAGGTTCTACATAGCCTGCAGTTGCAATTATCCTTCCATTGTTTGATCTTTACTTTAAAGGTATGAAGAGTATTTAGGTTTTTCATGTTTTCTGGTAGATTGTTCCAAAGCTTGCATCCTAAATAGGACAAGCTTTCGATTCCATGACTGATGGTTCGAGTTTCTTGTATTTTCATTAATTTACTGTTTCTAAGATGGTAGTGTCTGCTCTTTTGTATGAATATTTCATTCAAAAAGCTTGGATTGAGTTTATGTACAGTTTTGTAGATTTCAACCATTAGTAGTTGAAGGTTTCTTTTGTGTATGGAGACACAGTTGTTTTCAATCAGGAGAGTATCAAAATCTGACACATTTTTTTTGCATGCGATACGCAGTGCCTTTTCATGTATATGGTTTATCTTATTATTTAGGCTTTTGTCACAGAACATCCATACAAGTGGGCAATAGCTAAATTGGGATAGAATAAATGCCCTCATTGCTTGCTTGAGTTGTTCTGTGCTTAAGTAGCA